ATTTTTATATAAACATAGTTTAAAACTTTAAGGGTCTGTTTGGCTCAATGAGAGGAATGGGAGGGGATGGATTTTAATGGAGGGAAGGAGAAGAGAAAAGAGTGGAAGGATTTTAATATTATTTTGTTTGGATTTATAAAAAAAAAGAGGAGAGGGGAGAAGTTTTAATATTACCTTGTTTGATTCATGAGGAGAAGGGAGTAAAAAATATTTTGACATGGATATTTTGCCTTTATTTTATTTAAGATATAGGCATAATAGTCATCACATGGCAAAATGTGAGCATAATAGTCACAACATGACAAAATATTACCCTTTCCCTCTAAATCCTTCCAATTTTGAAAGGGAGGTTGAGGAGGTGACTCCCCTCCTAAAATTTTTTTTTCCTCCCCTCCTAAAATTTTGTGCGTTGTCAAACAAAAAAAAATAATTAAAATCCCTCTCCTCTCCTTCCCTCTCCTTCCCTCCAAATCTCTCACACCAAACACACACTGTAAATTTCATAGCCTAGTTAAGTTCACACTATTTCACTTCCAACCTCTTAAACTGTTTTCGAGAAGTCACCAAATGCCGCCCGTCGAAGTAATGACACTGCTATCGGGGAAAACAACAGAGGCAAGAAATTTTGGCCATAACACAAATTAGGGAGCAAAATCCTTAATAACGATGTTCAAAATTTAACCCACTTATCTTACTCCGCTTCTTAATATCAAAGTTAGATAACTAACATGCGAAAAGAATTAGTTAAATTAGTTATTTGTAATGAATAAATATTGTCTTTTTTAAAATATCTTTATCAATTATGTATATTTGAATTAGCTTTTGACAGTAACTCATTAACGTGTGCAATTACCATAAAGATTATTTTGAAACAAAATAAATAAATATTAAAAATATAATAGATTGTGATCTTATATTTACTATTTAGAACTAAGCTGAATCTTCAACTAATTATTATGTTAAAGATAGAAGGTAGCATAACCTTTTTTTTTTTACTACCTCCGGTCTTTAATGTAAGAACTGTTTTGACTTTTAATTTAGTTTTAAATATAAGATCTTTAATATATTTTGTTTATCATATTTATTTATTTTTTTCTAAGATAATCTTTATAGTAGTTGCATATGTTAAATGTTCAATAAAATGAATAGCTAATATAAATGATTAGCAAGGTCATTCATATGAATGACAACACCTATTTATTACAAATAACTAACTTAATTAATTTTTTATTTACTTAAATTAATGACTAATTTTTACATTAAAGGTAGAGACAATATTTAAAATCGGGGTTTTTAATGACGTCTGCTTAAGGGTGTATTTAGTATTATGAGTAGAGAACAACTAAAACAGTTTTACCAAAAAAAAAAAAGAGAACAACTAAAACAATGTGAGGTTTTCAGTAGACGGGAGATTTGGGTGGGTTTGATGAGAGAAATATTGAAGCGTCATTGTGATTCCATTTTGTTGTTGGCCTACCACACTGTGAACTGTGATTGCCATTGGCAACGGAGGGGACCAACAAAAAGTTGCCATGTGAGTCATTGTCTATCGACTATCGTACCTGAAAAGGGAGGGAGTGCCGTTGCGGGGTCCACCATAACGCTGAATTCCGTCATGTTATCCTCCCACCCTTTTTTTTTACCCTTTTATAAAAAAATAAGAAGGTAAAATTATAAAGGAAATATGGTAAAAAATAAACTGTCAAAATAAAAAAATTATAAATAAACACCTCTGACAATATTAGCATAGATTTTGACAATAATGATATGAGTTTTGATAATAATTTTTACAAACCGATCCTTGTATGTAATTTTTTTATTTCAGCAGTTTTTTTTACTATTTTTTCAATTATAAGCGAGATCGAATATATAATCTCCATATTATTAGACCATAAAGACTATTGACATTTTTCACATCTCTCGTACATTGGCAGCTTCTTCCTCCTTCCTTGGGGCTTTTACTCGTAACAATCAATTACTTTTATTCATTCATATAAATAAAAGGCCACCATAATTTTTCCCCTTTGGTGGAACCCAAAAAAAAAAAATCTGATTCTTAATATAACATTCATTTTATTGATTTGAATAAATTAAAAAAGTTACTAGATTACTTAAAACTGTTAATATTTATTTTTTTTTTAAAATTAATTTGTCTCACTTATAGATTAATATATAATCCAATTATTGACACAAGTATTTTAGAGAGGTTATATAACTTATGCTATAATTAAGTATCATCTCTAATCCTAATTATAAGATTTTGTTTATGGACTACAAACGGATTTTATAATTAGAACTGGAGATAGTAATTTAGTAATTTTTTAATCTTTTTAAATTAATTAATTAGGTTTTATACTAAAAATTAGAGATAGTAATAATTAAAAATTTGAATCTGAAATCCACGTAATATAGGAGAAGTGGGGGCCATGACCCTATATATCACACCTAATGCAAAGGATCAACATGGTAGGACCATTGCTGTCTTCTTCATCCATGTCTCCCTCCCTCAAATTATGGTCAACGGCAGGATGAGAGATATCCTTCTTCATCCATGTCTCCCTCCCTCAAATTATGGTCAACGGCAGGATGAGAGATATCCTCCCATGTTTCTCTCCCAGTAAGTATATATATATATAATATATATATATTTATATATATATTTATCCGACACATATTCTTATACACCTCCTTTAAACCAATTAAAAAGAACACACACACAAACAAAATCCTTGTTCTAATATAGAAAACATTTTCTTTCTACTTTTTCATTATTATTCTCCATTTTGACTCCTTTTAGTTTTTCCTCCAGTTTTTTTCCAATTACTAAACAAAGCATTATTATCTAAATATGTACCCTTCCGATCCTTAATATAGGACTCAATTATTAAATTTGTTTTGGTCTTAAATATAAGACCCATTTCTTATATTATCAATTTTATCTAAATTATCCCTATGGATACTCTTTTAACCATATAAAGAAGAGAAAGAAGGAGATTAAGAAAGATATTTAAAAATTTTTAAAAACGCACATGTCTTACAAATAAAAAACAACTTACTCATACTCCTTAACACAAATATAAATATTAAGAGACCAGTAGGAGGATATTAAAAAAGAAGAAAATGTATTATTCATTGAACTAACTTTTTAATATATAAATTAACTATATTTATTTTATATTATTGATTATTGAATATTATTATTTTTTATAATAAATTATTAATTATTATATTGATTTTTTATAAATATAATGTTATTATATTTTAAATACTATATTTATAATAGTTTCATATAATTATGTATTTAATATTATTAATAAAATTATGATTAATAGATGATATAAAAATAATATTTATTTAATTATTAAATAATTAACTTAATTATATTTTTTAATCTACTCAAATTAGTTAACTAATTTTATAGTAAGGACCGGTAAGAATACTTAAATTAGACATCCATCATTTTTCTTAAAGGTACCGTCAGGCTTATCTTCATCATAATAATTTTATAGGCGCATTTTGCTGGGATATTAAAATACGCATGCATGCATATGCATATTCATTTTGTTATGATTAAAGCGAATTTCCACCCAACACTAACAAAACTCCTTCGTCGATCTTGTACATGCACTCTCGATTCAATTATATTAAATCTAAAATTTACTTTATTATTCAAATAAAAAAATTGTAATTTAATTTACTTAAATTTTTATAATCAGACAAAGATATCAGTGTCTTGCACCAAACAAACGTACGTTTAGTAAAATGGGGGAAACAGGGATGGGTTTGTTGAGCGCTTGCTTAAACAACAAAACACGACAAAGACTTTCACTCCAAAAGGAAAAAAGAAACACGACAAAGACTAGTCGAGTTGCGCTGGGTGGGCTGCCTGCTCGTTAACTAATACCGCATTGCGTTTTCTCTGCTCTGTTGCAGTAGTTAAACCGTTGAGCTAACTAGAGTACTAACTTCCGTTCTCAGTTAATTTTTATTAAGTTAATTATTTGTCATAAATAGATCTTATATTTTCTAGAATATTTTTATTAATAGTGTGTATTAGTTAAAATTACTATTAGATAGAACATTTAATATGTGTAACTACTACAATGACTATTTTAGAAAAATATATATAAATATGAAAGACAAAGTGAATTGAGATCTTATATTTAGAATCATATTGGACGTCAAACTAGTTCTTATATTAACAGCTGAAAGTAGTATATAGATAAAAAAAAGTTGAATATAATGAAAGAGGCTAGTTACTCATGACATAATATTCAAGAGAATTGCTTATATTTAGTTTTCACAGTTCTTTGAATAGAATTGCCTTTAATAAAAAAATATCTATGTATAACACAAAATTTATAGTGTATATTATTCTTTTTGCTGATACATATAGTATATATTATTTTGATATTAAATATAAGGCTCTAATTTATTTTATACTGATTACATATATTAAAAAAATTTTAATCAAAAAGTGGTTTGAATGTAAAAACTCTTCTAAAAAAAGGAGGAGAAAATTTTAAACGCAGAAAAAAAAGAAAAAAAAAATCTTCTAATCACATTCTTTAATAAAAATAGTAAGATAGGTTATTTTTATGGATTTAAAACATATTTAATAATTTAACTAACTTTTTAAAATTTTTAATTCATGAGAAAGTTTAACCCAACCAACGACGTGGCGGAGCATTATTTTATTTTATGAACAATATCTAATACTAACTCTCTCTCCGCATTAAAAGCGCCATGAAACCCGCCCGTCAACAACAATCATCCCTCTTCAATCATTCTTTCCAAACTCTCACATTCTCGCTGACAAAATCATAGAAGTTGTAGTGGTACATTTTTTTCTCCTATCCCAAACCAAAAAAATTATATTATATATAATTAAATCTAAAATAAATAAATATTCACCGTACTGAAAATTCACTGGATTTTCTTTTATTTCCTCCCACCTGAAAAAGCAACGCTCTTCCCCCCACCCCCCATCCTGCATTGCGCAACGGAGAACAGAGTGATCGGAGAGAAGGAGCATATGAGGGAGGAAATTGAAGCTTGTCATTGCTGAATTGTGACAAATGCCGATAGCCAGGTACCAGCTGAAGAGCGAGCTCAGTTTGGCGGATCCTGAGCTGTACAGAGTTGCCGATAAGGATGATCCTGAAACTGTCTTAGAAGCTGTCGCCTTGGCCGGACTCGTCGGCCTGTTGCGCCAGCTCGGCGACCTTTCTCAGTCAGTTCCTTCTCCATATCTTAACTCTTTTCTTTCTTTGAACTGTTCTTCATTCCTGATTTTGATAGCCGTCGTGCTGCTGCTCCAGTGCTGAAAGTTGATTTTAGCACTTTTGGTTATTATACTTGGTTGAATGATCGTTTAGCTGAGAGTGTCTGCATAATCTTAGTTGAGTTAGCTTTTGTTTGGCTAGATTTTTGTGTTTGTGCTATATTAACTGTTCTTGGATTTTTAGCATTTTACTATTTTGGTCGTTATTTTGCCGAAAAAGATGGATCCTGTTCCGAATTGGATGTAAGATATGTTAAGCTGACAAACTGGGCTGTTTGTCAGGTTTTATATCTGAATCCTGACAAATGATTTCGTCTGGTTATTCTTTGATTCTGGTTCACCTTTCTTTCCCCCCTTTAAACATCTCTCTCTGTCTCATCTCCCTTAATTCTCTTTTACTATTGGATCCTAACAAAGGGCAATAATAAGTCCAGAGACTGATCGAATCAGATATTAAGTTCGATGACTATGTCGTTAGTGCATCTGAAGATATCATATTTAATTAGAAACATTTCATTTCATGACATCATTTGTCATTACTTAGTACCTTACCTATCTGATATCTGAAAAACATAACTAGAAAATGAATTCGACGCAGAAGGGAAGAAATGTCCATTTAATAGAACATTTTACGAGAATTAGCCTTAGTGCATTACAAAAATAGTAATTTTCCTTCGGGCCGGTTGGAGAGGGATCGCTTTGGCTCCATCCCGACATACTCTATCCACAATCATCTCAGCAACCAGCTGAACTAATTTTTTTAGGCTTATTTCTGTGAGTCGGTTTCATCAAATACCTTTGGTCACGAAAATGTATCCATCTGGCAAGCATTGTGATAATCCTGACTTTCAGCGTCTTGCTACTAATCACTGAAGTGTTAGTTCTATTTGTAAGAGTTCATATGTTCTGGATTATCTGGTGTTATTTCCTCCCACTCTTGGCCTAGTAGGCTGTGGTTTTTTTCACCACCACATCTACATGTGCTTTTTCAATATAACATTTGCATACGTCTAACAGCATTATTCTGGTTAGATTTGCTGCTGAGATCTTTCGTGACCTGCATGAAGAAGTAATGGTCACTGCTGCAAGAGGTCAAGGTCTTATGGCTCGTGCCCAACAGCTTGAGGCTGAAGTTCCTTCACTTGAGAAGGCTTTCCTATCCCAACCTCATCACTTATCATTTTTCTCTAAGGGAGGTTAGATTTCCTCACTGCATAGTTGTGTTTATGGTTTCGATTTATCGTCTTAATGATATTTGTTCCTTTCGTCAACCTTTCAGCGGCATCCGCCTGTAGTTAGTTAGGGAATGAAACTCTACACTTCATCCCAAAAAAAGGGCTAAATGGTCTTGTTAAATGCAGAATTTTCACAAGTTGAAACACTTGCTATTATTGGCCCTTTGACAGAGTTATATGCATTTGCTAACGGCATTGCAGGGATCGGTTGGCATCCAAATCTTCGGTCTGAGCAAAATCTTATTACTCGAGGAGACATGCCTCGATTTGTAATGGATTCATATGAAGAATGTCGTGGCCCTCCCCAGTTGTTTCTCCTGGACAAGTACGACAACATGATTAATCGTACACAAATAAATTTAAACGATAAACAAAAAGTGATTATCTTCTATACATTTTAAACCTTTTCATTTTCTTGTTTTGGCTTCTAAAAGGTTTGACGTTGCTGGGGCTGGGGCATGTTTGAAGCGTTATACTGATCCGTCATTCTTTAAATCGGAGCCAGCTTCCTCTGGACTAGCAACAGTTGAAGTGTTCAGGGAAAAGAAAAATCATAGAATCAAGGTACCAAAGTGTCAATTACATCATTTGCTGACACGATTCTTGTGGAAAATCTATTTTAGATGGTGCAGCCTATTATTTCTCAATAAAAGTTATCCTGTTGCCTTCATACTGTGGTAGTACCATTGGGAATCTTGCTGCAAAACCTTAATTAAAGTGGAATTGTGTGAATTATATTGTTCACAGAAAGACAGGCAGACAATTTTTTGTCATTGCTTTTTTGGATCTTGCTAGGATTTCTGTATACCTGCTAATTAGTATATAAAAAAATGTTATGCAACTGAAGATTGAACATCTAAAGATTTGAAGAAAATGTTTATTTCTTTTCCCTCCAGAAGAAAGGCACACGAATGAGGAATGGTGAAACCCCTGAAGTTGCATCAACACATACTAAGTAAGTTCCAATAACTTTATTTTGGTGCATTAATTACTTTATCCTTCCAGTTCGCTAAGTGCATAAAGCTGACGAAATGGTTGATTGGTGACAATTCAATTTCCATACTTGCAGGCTGCATCAGTTGCTTCTTGAGGAGCGCATTGAGAGTGCTTGTGCTGATCCTGGACGTCAAGTGAAATTGAAGAATAGACAATTAAATGGCTCTGCAACTGAAACAAAAACTGGGAAAAGCTACATGGAAAAATTTCTGGAATCTCCGTTGCAAGATGAAGTGGTTCGTGAAACCTCATTCTCTCCACCTCATGTGAGATTGGTGTCGGATGATACTAGTGAAGAAGGGATTAAAATACTTGAAATCAGTACTGTTGGACCTGTAAAAATGTCCTTGGAAAATGAAAGGACATGTTCATGGACTAATGAAGAGGAAGCAGTACTAAAGCCATCCTCAGAAAAGCGCAGGCAGACAGATGGCAATCTTGTGAAGAAGCATGAACAAGGCTCGTCTCGTGTCTCAGATGAAAGATCTTACAACTATAGTGAGGTACCTCATGAAACGAAATTGGAAATTGATGATCAAAAGGAAGGAGAAAATTTCTTATATGGTTACCATTCTGACGGTGATTTGAGTGGGGAGGTTGACCATCACTTGAATGCGTTAGCTACCGTGGAGTCAGAATTGGATACAGGTTATAAGTACAGAGATAAGAACAGGTTCCTGCGTATTCAGAACCTAAAAGATTCTGATGATAGAGAACGTCAGCAGCGGGATCGGTTTTTGCATTCTCAATCATTTTCAGACTCCCTAGTGTCTGATGAAATTAGTTCATTCAACCGAGATATAAATGAAGTACATGCTGAGCGACAAGCTCAATTGTCCGATTCTCAATCAGGAATCTCCTTCACATCAGATGATCAAAGTTCACTCAAAAGGGATAGAAATGAAGAATATAGCAAACGGCAAGCTCAGTTTTCAGATTTTCAATATATCGGAAAATCTTCCGCATCAGATATGAATAGTTCTTTTGACAAAGACATTCCTTGTTTCTCTTGCTCTGATTCTTTAAGCACTGTGGGTGAAAATATAACATCAGAACCAGTGTCACTTAAATCTAACAAGTATAATAGGTCTGAGATTGAAGATACATCATCAAACCAGCTTACTCAAATTTTTGAGGCACAAAAAACAGATCGGGGTAAGTTTCTCTTGCATGGTGGTACACGTGATCAGGAAAAAGTGGTTTCTGGTACGGGAGATGAGTCGTCTGGTTCATATCTGATAAATTCAGGACGTAAGTCGCTATATTCAGATCTTGCATCCGCTTCAATGATGAAAATATCTAACAGGGATCAATCGAAGGAAACACCGACTGGCCTCATTGAGCATCAGTTAAGATTAGCAGATGAGGGCACAAGGCACCACGCTGAATCTATAGATGCCATTCCTGACGCTACAGTATCTTCTGAAAAAGGTCTTTTGAACGAGTCTGCTGATGGTGACCGAACTGTCAATGGTAATGCTATATTAAATATTTCAAATGATTTAAAATTAGTTTCTGACAATGAGCGCAGTGGATGTTCCAAGATCAAAGGATTGCAAGCAGAATCTCCGAGCCAAAACTGTTCTGACATTTTGGTTTGTCGGGAGATTGGTACAGATGAACATTCAATTTGCTCATCCACGGAATTAGACATGCATTCTTTAAGTACTACCCTCATGCTGGATGTCCAACCTTTAAAACCTGCAGACTGTACTGAGTCAACACATCTCAACTCACAAGATGAATCAGACTCAGTGGGAGTTGAAGCTGAATGTTATGATCAGCAATCATATTTTGGGGAGCTACCAGAAATGGAGCATAGTGATGAATTGAGTGGATCCACTTGTAGAGTGGATGCAGATGAAGATGACAATCTTCATAAAGGTTCATCTTCTGGGGTCCATGGTGGGCAGGATTATCATGTCACAGATGATGTGGCTTATACAGAACTTCAGCCAGAAGATCAATCAGTATCTGTTGATGCTGCTGAAAATGATGCGAATATTGCTTCTTATCCCGCTTCCAGTATGATCTCTTCTGCATCAAGAAATCTTTCAAATTTACAAGAACCAATACCTGGCACATGTTCCCATGAGACAAAAATGGAATCTAATCAGGTAGAACAGATCAAGATTGCTGTTGACTCGAATGCAGAAAATAGGGAGAATGAACAGGAACCATCTTCAGATTCGAATATGGTATCTACGTCAATGACGAGTTCTACAAGTTTTGAGGAATCTCATTTCTCTTTTGCTGACCCTCAAGAGAAACAGAGGGAAATTAGCGAGGCAGTCGATAGAGAATCCTTGAGAAAACTGGAGAAACAGGGGGGTGTGCATCAACTAAATGCTGCTTGTGCCAACGTAGAACTGAGCCTAAACAGATCGGTGCCCTGTGATAATTCAGAAATATGTGAAAGTATTAAAGGTTCGCTTCCTAAGGAGCAAACTGAACACAGTTCCGTCAAGGATAAGATTCTCAAGTTTTCAAAGCTAGATTCTCAGGAACCAAAATCCATACCCCTTTTGCGGAGTAAACGTTTACGGAATGGCCAAGATGGTTTGGCATCTTCTTTTTTTAACCAGCTGGAGTCTGGAAATCGTTTGAAGAAGTCTTCGCAATTACAAGATGGTCAAGGGGATGCAGGATTTCTACCTAGCTGTGCAGAAATTTCTTCCTCAAACAAACATCAACCTGAACAGGTGCAAATATCAGAACACTTGGAAAAGGAAAGAAACTCTAGTGCTTCCTCTACATCTGTTTCTGAAATCCATCTAGGTCAATCTTCGTCATTTGAATCATTTTCAATATCAGTAAGCCAGGAGGTTAACTCCACAAAACATGTCATGAACGAGCCTCTTTCTCCTCTTCAGGCCTCCTTATCCGAGGCACCTAAAATCAATTTTGGGGAGATGCCACCCATGCCCCCGCTCCCACCTATGCAATGGAGAACAGGTAAGGTTCAACCTTTTTCCCTCGCTTCAAATAGAGAAGTCTCATTCCAACCAATACAGTCGATTAAAACTGGAGAGCAGGCTCGATATAGTTTACCAATTTCCGAGAGAGAAGCTTTGCAGTTTCAGAATCCTGTTATATCTGTCATGGCTGTGGAAGGTGAAAAGCTCCAGAATACCTCAGGATTTTTGGTGGGTGGGCATCCTGTCGCAATTTCTATGCAACTACCAATCATGCTTAATGAAGTAAACGGCAAATATAATTACCTGGTTTTGGAGAGAAGCCAGACCCACAACCCATTCCTAACATCATCTGTGCCTGTGGTACCTGCCGGCAAGCCTGCCGAAGGTTACATTGGTGCCTCAGAGGGAGAAATGGTACAAAATTCAAACACAAGCTCACCAATTCCACCTGTTGAGCGTGCCATTTCTGAACAAGATTCCATCTCTCCAGAGGAACTGTCTCAACCACCAAGTCAACCTAGTTTAAAAGTTAAAACACTTCAGCGGTCTGCAGATAATCTGGAAGGGAAGCAAGGAGATCCTTCTAATTCACCAATGTCACCACCAGGCATGGAAAATGTGCAGCCTATTCACAACCTGCTGCCTTCGGAAGGGAAGCAAGGAGATCCTTCTGATTCACCAATGTCACCCCCAGTCGCGGAAAATGTGCTGCCTGATCACAATCTGCCGCCTTCGGAAGGGAAGCAAGGAGACGATTCTAATTCACCCAGGTCACCACCAGGCATGGAGAATATGCACCCCGATCACAACCTGCTGCGTTCAGGAATGAAATGGCTTCGACATTGGATAAGTCCGCTCTAGCATCAGATTTTGAGAGGGAAAGACTAAATGGGAAGCCAAACGACAAGCTTCCTCGTCCACGGAGTCCCGTGATTGATGCAGTTGCTGCTCTTGACAAAAGCAAGGTAAGTGTAGTTGTATATTTACCACAGACGATTAGAATGTACTCTTCATGAAGTCTTACTCATTGCATAAGACTTCGCCTTGGAAACTCTGCAGCTGAGGAAAGTTGCTGAACGTGGGCCTCCGAAAGTACCAAAGATAGAAGAAAGAGATTCATTTCTAGAGCAGATAAGAACAAAGGTTAGAGCTTGTAATCTTTCTCTGTTCTTTATAAGTTGTTGTGTGTTTATTTCTGTTGAAAGTAATCTTGTGCTTACGGGGTAAAGAAACTTATGGTTCTCTCAGTCTTTCAACTTGAGGCCCGCTGCAACAAGACGAAACCGCTATCACTATCAGGGGCCAAGAACAAACTTAAAGGTCGCCGCCATCTTGGAAAAAGCAAATGCAATTCGCCAGGTCTCTCATTCTGTCCCTCTGTTTAATTAGCTACTTTGAATACAGTTCTCTTGTCCGTCTCTTATTGTCTATTCACATGATGGTCATTGTACAGGCTCTGGCCGGGAGTGATGAAGATGACGAAAAGGATGGTTGGAGTGATTCTTAAATCTTCAAGGGGTGCTGATTTATATCTTACTACCGTGGTTTCCACCTTGAGTCGGACGTGCACAATTTCTCCCCTCTTGTGAATGAGAAATCTCTATGAAGTATAAGATTACAAGTTCATGTATGATACTGCGCACTCCATATGGCTCCCCTTTTATCTGTTCACACCCAGATGCTTGCAAGGCATAGGCATGCAGCTTAGCAAGCATCCCTGATTCTTTTCAGTGGTGATGCCTTTCTGCCCCAGAAGATTCAGGGTCCAGGCTCAGAGTGGAAGTGCTTTACCTTTATTCCCGTTTTTTCTTTGATATATAAATATTGTATATTTGTGGCATGGGTGGCCTTTTTTAACCATATAGTTTTATTTATAGCGAACGATGTGCATGAAATTTTGTAATCCTGTGATGCATCCTTTTTTAAATTATTTGTACAATTGCAGCTCATTAATCATGTTTGTATCTAGTGTAATTACATATTTAAGTTGAAAAAAAAAAATCATTCGAGATGTACATGTTGTGTGTGTTTGTGCATAAAGAAACTTGCCTCGGCAGATAGAGAGGTTGGGGATTTATCAGTGTGAATGGCAATCCCTCCAGCCCAAACATTGATGCAAAGTCTAATACTCTAATTTACTCTTCTGATTCTATTTATAAGTAATTTTTAGTATATTTTATACAGACCAAGGAAAACTTTAAACTTCATTAACTCCCATTTAAAATTCAACAATTTTCTAAATTTATTCCTATTTAATATATATTATATCTCATTTAAATAAAATCAGCACAATAACAAATGAAGAATAAAATTTTATATCTATATAAAAAATTTCTCTCAATATTTTATAAATAAGACTAAAATTTATCTTTTGTCTCTACCTTATAAATAGGACCAGAAGAGTAAGGTTTAAGGCACTCCAATCAAAATATCAGGTGACACAGGCCTAGTCTAGCTGGATTTTGGCAACATTCACACCCAATTCAAGTCGTGCCTCGTTAATTGTTGGTGCTTGGAATCTTTTTCATTACAAATAAAAAGCCAGGAAAGACACCATAATGGATCTTGTTAATAAAATACTCCTCCGGTCCTTAATATAGGACCCAATTCTTAAGTTAGTTTGGTCTTAAATATAAGACTCATTTTTCATATTTATCAATTTTCTCTTAATTACCCTTATGAATACTCCTTCAAATATAATCAAGTAGAAGAGGGAGATGAGGTATTATAAAAGATGTTTATGGTGTTTTAGGAAAAATGTGTCACTTTTCTTATAATTAACTAACTTACCTAACTTCCTTAATCTAATCAAATTATTTAAATGGGTTTTATATTAAGCACCAGAAGAGTATAATACATCACAAGTTTTATGACTTAGTGTTTGGGAAATATTTTCATGTCATCTAAAAATTACATACATTCATAGTCTTGGTTACACTAGAGTTTGTAATTTGCAAACTATTTAAGTATTCATAAATTTATATCATTATATGTGCACCAAATCTAAAAGTAAAATTGGGTGGTTTTGCTGTGAAATTCGATTTTTAAAAAACAAATTAAATATTCTTTTTGAATTGTTTTTTGTACCGTCCTGTCAAACGAC